CAGGAAACCATGCTCTTGCCAACGCCTCCTTTGCCGGACAAGACGACGATTACCTTGAAGGAGGTCGCGGACATTCCTAGAAGTTCCTTTACTTTAATTTAAATGTTTTCGAACGATAAAGCCTCGGTCAACGTCGAAGGAATGATGGGCTCTTGCCAACAGAGCTTTACGCCCGAATCTGAGTTAGTTATAGTAACTACGTTAAGTCATTATCTATCGAAGAAGTGTCAAACACGGAAAACTATTGAATATTAAACCTGACAATATTGGTGCTGCCTGTTGCTAACAATAGAGCGTTATTACATTACTGAAACAACCATCACAAAAAGTATTAATAAAATCAATATTTACAACTGTACAAGAACAAATATCACTGACAACATGTTTACTCGCAGTTTATCATAAATACAACCCAGAACACCATTACAAAAGATGGTATGCAATATTGGTTTGAACTGTACAGAAAACGTTGCACAATTTGTGCCGCAGTTCACCTTGCTAGGTGAAAGCTTAAGGCGGTATGCAGTTGGCACCATGAATGGTACGTTTACAGTTGTATGTTACTTTTGGCCTTTTTTCAAGGATCACGTGGTAAAATATATACTTCAACCAGTACTGCTGCTATCTTAGCGAGAAGTAAACAATCAATAATAGCAGCTTTTGAAGCATTTAGTTACTGCAAACGTGTTTGTGTACCAGATCATAAACTTTAGCCGTTTGCATAAGCAGAGCATCTCTGTGATTTCCGCTGTATAGGCGGCTTTACAATACCTTTGGTACAAAGCACCGGTTGTTGGATCGCAGAAAATATTCCTCTGAAAGCAGTTGTACCGCTACCGCGTTTCCCGAAGTTGCATGCTGCCCCTCCCCTTCTTTTCCCCTCCCCCCCTCTGAGGGGTGTCACGTTTTGGCTCCCACACAAGAAGCTGGCAGGCTGGAATAAACGGTCTCTGCTCGACCAGTATTTCTAACAGGGATAACTTCAATTTCCTAATCTTCAGGTCTGTTCAAGTCACCTATGCCTGGAAGAGAACCGAGCAACTCTTGAAGCAAATCGAGAATTAACCCTTATTACAGGTAGAAGCCAAATTCTAGCTCCTTCGTTAGAACAGCCGTCTCGTGTCGCAGAACACTACTGGCCTACGAGGCAAGGTCCAGGAGCCATTTTATAGAAAGGGTTAACCTTTATTAACTCAATCATTCGACATTTCGCCAAAAAGCACTAAATGCGAGGGGGATCCTATTATATTCTGAATGGATGGTGCCATCGCTAGAGATGACTGAGCCGCGACATTCTTAAACTGGCCGACTTCCTCTGTGGCTGCCCCTCTGTTCTGTGTTAGTAGATGAACTGTAGACTTCCGGGACTTAAGGTAGAAACGGGCGTTTGCAGCTGTTTTGAAAACGGAAACCGTAAGGTCACAGTGCATGTTACTCGTAATATTCACAACGAGAACATCATTTGCATCCTTCGGGCCAGCAAAATATCTAGCCATATATCGTGAAACGCGCCTCCCCTCCAAAATGAAATCTGTTGTGCTGGGGTCAGTAGTTTTGCTGTAAGAAGTTAAAGACAAGGTTTAATACTAAAGACGAAAGCATGCTTCTGGCAACCTCCACAGTAAGTAGGGACCTAGTCAGACAACTATCCTTCGACAGCAGACACTGTTTTTGCATACATCTCTTCCTTAACGAAAACAATGCATTCCGGCATCTCAGCATTTATGATTCTCCACATCGTTGGACGATATAATGAACCAAATGCAGCTTGAAAGTTGAGAAAATAGGGAAACCAAGGAAAATGAAATCGTCGTTTTTCAATAACTACGACCATTCATATGGTAGTTAAATACCACTAGTGTTATTTGATCAATTAAGACTGTGACTAATAATATGTAATAAGTATTAATGAAATGGTGCACTTGCAATTACTGTTACAAGAATGGGTATTACTGAGGGCACTGTATGTTACTTGCAGAGACATAAATTTACTGGTTACAATAATACCTTGTTCATCACCGGTACTCCTTACATTTCGTTGCGTAACCCAGTATACTTAGGACCATACGACGGAGCGTAAATATCGTCGCATATTTCTAAAATTAATGTACTGCAGGTGCTGAAATATCATACATAGCCCACAAGGCACATAGAGAGCAGGACTGAATGAACAGAAGAATAAAACATGATTAGGTTGAAATAGTACTTATTTATACACCCTACGGGTTAAACCTACGTGCACGGTTTTGCAAAAGGATACAAAAACACCGGCTTGGAAATATGCAGAAATGTTCAAAAACTGAACAATATCAGGTTTCGAAAATGTTTTGCAAACGGCTACTGCACGTTACTGTAACTAACTACTTAATAAATAAGTATGAATCGGTTGTCAGCCAATTTGAGTAAAGTAAACAAAAACAATAAGTACGAAATTCACTTCTATGCAGGTACTGTGAGGTGCGAAAGAAAACAAATGTTCAGAACAAATTTTACTCACCAAATTTCACCAGCATCATCATCAAAAACTGACTACGGCTTATACCGACACATGACGATCTCCCATGAACGATTAATCGACAACGTGCACGACAATCTATTCGGCCAACGGTCAGAACACACTCACACGTTTCGTCGTTATAATAATTTTATCATTTTACGCACAAAAAAGGGACGCCGTCAACGGTCACACAGGTGCAGAGACAACAACCAATACGCACACAGGTCGCGCCGCCTATATATCCATATAAATTATACACACAGCGCACGGCAACAGCGAACACAGAGAACAAATAATACGAGTTTGAAGATAAGTCAAAAAAGTTATTTGCAATAGTGGTAATATGCGTAATATTAGTGGGAGCATATAAATAAATGAACGTGTATCATGACGGTATGATGATGTGTAGAATAACTTTACAAAAGTCGATAGAAATTTAATGCCGTCGTCATCCACCATTGTCAGCGATATTCAAGCAAATCAGAAACATAACTAAGATATGCCATGTAGTAGTAGTAGTAGTAGAGTAGTACGGAAACAACATTACTATAAATTCGGTAAACTGCCGGTGCCGGCTCTGACAAATTGGCAACTCATTCATTGGTGGCAACAGGCGCTTGTTGCACAACGGCCCGGAACTAACAAGAAAAATCTACAGACCGACTGACAGACAGCACATCAACGCAGGTAGGTGGTGCAATGCTGCGCGACAGGTGGCATTCGGTGGTCGCCCGACGGCTCAGTTCCCCGTAGTGGTCGTCGTCGTCGTCGCAGGGGCCGTCGAGCTGGGAGGTTGATTCCGTTCAGCTGCCGCCGCCGCCGCGGATCGACTAGTTGACTGCTGTCCCCGCTCACCATTGCCGCCAGTCGTCGTCTCTTCGTCTTCCTTCTTCTCCTCGGGGCCATCATTTTCGGCAAAGTTCAGCCAAGACTGTTCGACGA